TGCTGCTTGCCTCTCCTGTCACATGTTCTCTCAGCCTAGTGTTAAACTCGAAGAAATGCCCACCGTCAACAACCTGCCGAGTGCTTCTGCGTTTAAAGTTGGTGGCTAGTGCCAGGTTTGTTCAACCACTACCTGAGCAGACACCAGTGTTGCTCAGAAAGAGCCTGACTTTGGTCATTTTGTAATAGTGAACAAGGAGAGGGTGCCTCGAAGGCAATGATAACAGATGTCTCAAACTCTCTTAATCAGAGCAGCAGGGTGTCCCCCACAAGATCTAGTGCATTAGAGCCCCCTTCCTGCCTCATGTGGCTCCTTCTTTTCCTGCATCTTCCATTAACCTTATGCCAGTCTTAGGCTTTCATTTTCCTTTTGCCTCTTCTCACCCCTATTCTGGAGGTTCCCCTCCCACAGTAGGACAGTACAGGCTCAGTCCTAGCTGATCTGCAGGAAGGGTAGGAGTCCGCAGTTTGTGGCACCTATAAAAGGAGCAAAGCACACAGTAAGAAAAGCCAAGGTATTATCCTGATGAGGAGTCTTGGCCAGACTACTGAGTGTGAGGCCAAGGGTATTTCTGCACTCCTGCACATCATGAGAGGTTACAGGAAAGAGAAGCTCAGGGAAGTTAAAATAGTCAGATGAAAACAGTGTCTGGAAACAAGGAATAAGGAAGAGGAGGGGGCCTTTGGCTTAGTCACCTTTAGAGGAAAACATTCCTTGGTTTGCCAAAAGGAGCCATTGGGGTGTCACTCCCAAAGTCAGATTGCAGAGTTTTATCTAGTCTTGTCCCTAAAGGTCAGTGCTGTGGCTGCCTTGATGCTTTCTGTTGTGAGGCCTGAACAACTGCAAAACATCAAGATATTCTCTTGAAACAGGGCTCTGAAAGGGTCAAGTACGAGAGCAGAGAGAGTAGTCTCTCCTGGATCACTGTCCCAAGGGTGGTAGAAGACTCCTAGTTCTCCTACTCAGAAGAGCATCACTTCCCTCCACCTGTATGCCCTGTCATCATTCAGTTGTGCTGATTCTCTCAGGAACAGAGGAATTGGGTCTGATCCATGTGAAGTCCCCTCAGCTATCAGGTTTTGCCTGCCTAGAGGCTGGCAGGACTGCTCTCCAGGTCTTCCTGTTTGCGCATAGTTGCTTCCATTGCTGTCAGGTAGAGATTTGCTTCCGAGCCGTTTTAAATGCTGAGCTTTGTGTTGCCTCAGACAGCCAATGCCACTTACAGCATACACATTCAGATTAAACTTCTTACCTTCTCTTTCCTCTCTCCACAGAGGCGAACTTCAAGTCATGGACATGCCAGAAAAAGAGCCAAGGTATGAGATTGTCTGTCCCTTTCTTCTGCCCATTCTGAGCTGAGCCATGTTTCCAACCTTAGCATGGTCTTCTCAAATCCCCCCTGTCTCCAGAAGCAACCTGCAGCACAAGACAGTTCAGGATAGTGACCTTCCACCCTGCTGGAGCGTGAGCGCTCATCTTCACACACACTTACCCATGAAGGAACTGCTTGCTGCTCTTAACTGCCACGTGTCCCCTTCCCAGAGTCTGAAACTCCAGAAATGAAGTTCACAGATTTCATTGAAGGGATGGGGTAGTGCACCTGCCTGTTACACCAGAGAGATTTCAGTCTCTTCCCTGCCTTGAGAAAATTTAGCAATCAAGTGGCCTAAAAAGAGAATGTCATCCAGATAAAAAACAGAAAGTTGTATGTAACTATCCAGTGTCAACTCAGACACCTTTTCTTCAGAGAAACACCACGTTTGCTCCCATAATGAAGGCACATGCATATTAGTGCAACACCAGGATACCACTGCTCTAGAACATTGCTTTTTAGGCAAAATCGGCGGGTGGGAGGGAAGTGTAGCTATTATGTGATTTTTCCCCTATCTTAGCCTTAGCCCCAGTTTTTCTCTGCAAAATTTGAATTTGGTAATAAGCACTGGACTAGTTTTATGAAAAGCAGCCATAAATTCTTCAGGGCTGGCAATTATAGAATCATAGGAGTGATTTCTATAGAATCATTCAGGAGTCCATCTAATCCAGCTAGGATTTATCTAGTCCAACCTCCTACTCAAAACAGGGTCAACTATGAGATCCAACTGGGATGTTCAGAGCTTGATTTTAAAACTTGGGATGGGGGGATGAGGATCTCTTTTCTTTTCTTTTTTAGTTTCCCAAAAGTTCAAACCCAAGTGAAGACAGGTTCTGTACTGAGGCATGAGAGAGAGAGGGAAGACCAATTAAAATTATAACAATGGTTCTTTCTGGTTTTATTTTTGATAAAAATACTATATGAAAGAGACATGTCACTTCTGAAATACAGGGTATTCAGACTAAATATTCTAGGGTTCTGTTCGATGTTAAAAGCCAGGACTGTATGCACCACCCAAGCAGGCTGTCATTCAATTCCTGCCTTTCCAGGCAAAGGGCAGACTGTGTCCAAGCCCCTTGGGCCTTTCTCCATATTGTTGAACTTGCCTGGGATCTCATGTGACTGGGTGACATATTTTTCCTATTTGTCATCCAAGTGAGACAACTTACCAAGTGTCCTGAAAATGCAAGTTTTATTTTAAGCATTTTCTCTAAGCACTACTACATTGCCCAAAATAACCAAAGTTGTCAGGTCAGGCAGGCGAGGGGTAAATGGGATGACAGCCTTTTAATTAAGAAAAGTAACAATCCTTCCTTTACGTCTTAGAAAAACTAGTCGGTTTCAGGGATATTATTTGTTAATGGCTTTAACTCTTGTCAGGTATGTTGGGGAGAGGCTGGAATTGCTGTGGCTAAAGAGGCCAAAAAGTCCATGTGTTAAGACTGAGCTTTCTTACCTGAAGTGTGGTTAGTTCAAATCCTAGTCAAAGACTGAAGGAAGAAAATAACTGGTTTGCTGTAGGAATCCAAGCCTGTATATGTTCCTGTTTGCTATAAGAAGTTGGGTTGGTAGTCCTCCTTTTCAGCAGTTTAATTAGGACTGACTGTGTGAGTAGCTTTGCAATGTGCCAGCATGAACTTCAGTGTGCACATCTTGCCTGAGGTGTCTTAACTATACTTTTTTTTTTTTTCTTTCTCCAGTCTAATTCAAAGCTTAAACTGGTCAGGAGTTTGGCTGTATGTGAAGAATCGTCTAGCCCCTTCGTAGATGGGCTGCTGGAGTCCCAGGTAGGCCTAGTGTCAGACAAGCTGTGCAATGTGAAAGCCCAGAAAATTCACTTCTTGTTAGAGGTGGTTTCCTTCTCTGGGTCTGCACCTGTAAGAGCCAAGAAGTTCCCACAAGAGACTGCTTTTGAAAGAAGCAGTTATGCGCTTTGTGAGCACTGCTTATGCGTGTGTACATTCACAGCCCTTCTCTGACAAGGTATCATCTGCATCAATTCACTGGGCATTCACAACTGCTCAAGTTGTGCAGGCTTGTGTCCGCAAAAATGTAAAGGTGCTTTGCTTTCACAAAGCCTCTGGGGTTTTGACCATGGGAAGGAAGTTTCTGTGCAAGCCCTCTCCACACAGACCAAGCTGCAGTAACTGAAAACATCAAAGGTTAATCAAGCTGCTGCACATCAGACATCCGTATTTAACTCAGGCACTTACCATATGGCGAACCACCTCACAAAGAAGTGACGTGTGCTCCTCTGCAGAGATGATCCCCATCTATGGTCACTGTGAGCAGTGACTGAGAAGCCAAAGCTTGAAGGTGGGCAGCAGTTGGTGAAGCGCTAAGAGCTCATCTGCCCGGGCAAGAGGCAGATGAGTTGAGCTTGCTCAGCCCACCTAAGCTCCAGAAACAGAGAATGGTGCAGCATGCAGAGATCTGAGCTGGCTCGCTGCAAATCAGGTTGTGGCTAGCTACAGCCCAGCTTTTTTGAGCTGACATAGTACTGCCCCGTGCAGACTTAACAGCTTAGGTCTATTATGCGAGATCAGAGATCTCTACACTGCCTTCCACTCACAAGGCCAGACCTGGCCTGTGCCAGTTTTGGGTGCTGCCCAACCCACCTCTGCATTGCAGCAAATGGGTACTTGGCATCTAAGCCTTCCTTATCTTGAAGCTCCCTGCTCCAGAAACTGCTCTCATCTCCTATTTGGGTTTCACTCATTAGAACTATATGTTCACTAGGAGGACTTTAAAAGCAACCATAAAGCACACATAACAGTGCCAGGAAACAAAGTAAAATGGTGCTAGTCTGCAGGTAGAAGGAGGGGGAAGATCAGCTGGCACACAAGCTGGTGTTTTTATAGTCAATTTTAACATGGATTTGAGCAGCACATCCTCCGGAACTGCCTTTGACAATCCTACTGGTGTGCAGCATTTCTTCCCATGGAGCAGAATGAATCCACAGGCCATGCTGGGCAGTTGCAATTCAGGAGAGGATATAAAAGAAAGCATCTCAAAGCCCCTTGTGTTTGCAGCACAGGGGCCACTCATCACACCACACATGGCTTTTGCTGTATATTCTGTTTGCACCTCAGGCCCTTTCTCTTTTCAGGGAGGATGGTAGAGTCTATATCTTATTGTAATAGAGCAGGTGCCTAACTCACCTTGGGCACTCCTGAATCCAAAGCCTAATAGTATTTTATCAGCATCAAACAGGGAAGCATGTGACTTAGATACTGAGGTGACCCAGGCATGGCAGGTTTTCAGGCAGTGGTAAATGCTGTTGAGAGTCCTATCAGAGCCTGCTGAAAGCTTCTTGTTGGGAGGAGGGTAGGGAGAGAGGTTGCTCTGTCCACTCTCAGAACAGGACCTGTTATGAGATGTTTCAGATCTGGGACCTGAATCCCTGATGCCTTTCTCTGCTGCCAGCGTCTCCAGTGATGGTAGTGATTCCAGGGAGTGTCCAAGTCACTCAACCCAGCCCACTTTGTTTTGTTGCAGGACATCATTCAGTTGCACGTTAGCTGTCCCTCTGACAAGGAAGAGGAAAAATCCATGAAAGATGGGGCTGAAAAAGAAGAAAAAGACAAGAATAAAGAAAAGGCGCCAAGGAAAATGCTGTCTCGAGGTCAGATGCCCTCTGAACAGGGCAGGTCCTGTCTTACTTGCCTTTAGGAGTCTCTTGGCCAGTGGTGCAACTGCTGGAAGCAGAAGGGTTATCTCTGCTGAAGGCTGCACATGAATGCATCACCTTTATAACATCCTTTCTAGAGTAAAGCATGGGGAAGGAGGGGGGGAATTTCTCTAGATTGTCACATGCCCCAGCAGACTTGCAGGCTTCCTGCATGTTTGTAGTGATCTGGTGGCTTTTGAAATGTGCAGGTGCAAAACCAGAAAGACTCACCATAGATACTCCTGGTTTCAGTTGTGATTTGATTTTATAAAACGTGCAGAAAGATGACAAGTGTAAGATGTGAGGTTGGGAGGAGGCAAGCTAAGTTTCTGCTGTATGATCCTGCACATGTGATTTTTGGGATATAGAGATAGCTAAAAGATGTGCCTTTAATCTGGGTAGGAAATTGCAGCTAAAAACCTTGCACAGGCAGCAACTCTGCACTGATGCAGATTCAATTCCACTTCCTGTTTTTGCTGCAATTACTTCTAAAATTAAAAAGGGCAAGGGGGGCTAACAGGGCTAACAGGACTCTCCAGTTATATAACTTGCAGGATCAAAGATGCACAAATTGCTTATGCAGAAGTATTGTGGGGGAGCACTGGCAGGGGCCTCCTGTAGCAACATGGACTATCCCGAGTGTGCTCCGAGTGGTCAGAATGTGCTCTGACCATAGCAGGTCATAGGGGCGAGGTTTCTCTCCATATACTGATCTGTTCTCCCTCTTTCTGGGGTCCTCCTAATGGGACCTTGAGCTCATTATGCCTTGTACGTAACGTGTTGTACATAACTGATTTTCCTGCTACCCACAACAGGCAATGGTATACGTCTAGTCCCCATTTTACAGATTGAGAAACTGGTTCTCGAAGTCACATTCAGGGCTGTGCTAGAAACTGGGCTTGAGCCCAGGTGATGTAGGACCCAGCCCCTGCAGTTCTGTAACAAGAGGAGTCTTTCTTCCTCTCGCTGTGTTGTGACTGGTTAGTGCTGAGAATGAGGCTGAATTTCCTCTGGCAGCTCTGTAGGGACATCATCCTCATGCATGAAGTGAGTCATTGCTGTGAGACACACACCTCTTCTCATTCAAGCTATTCTATTGCAGTGTTTTGTTAATTTGTTCTGCTGCTGTTGTTTCAGATTCCAGCCAGGAATATACAGACTCTACTGGAATAGATTTGCATGAATTTTTAGTAAATACACTGAAAAAAAATCCAAGGTAGGTTCCCTAGTCAGTTAAACAGCTAGCTAATGGAGTGAAAGGAGGGAGAACCTGGCAACCGATGCATCTCTGATTGACTCTGAACTCATGGGTGGTGGGGGGGGGTGTGTATGTATGCGTGTATCTTGGGGGCAGAGGGGGAAGCAACTACAGAAAGTACCTGAAAGTGTGTTTTATGTTTTGGAATTCAGATAAGGTTACAGGACCTGGGGCAGTGTAGAAACAAAAAGCACGACTAACTTTATTTACTGCAGTCAAGCAAAACATGTACTTGTGTATTATGGAGAGAGATAGAGGAAAAATAATTTGTTTAAGTGCAAGCAGGAAGGAATCTTAATTGTTCTAAAACCTTTCCTATAAGTGGTTGTCAAAACCTAGCCTCTAAAGGAACTGCTGCTGTGTCAGTAATAAACATAATCAAGCCAAATGCTGGCATAGGAATAGCAAAACTGGAGTCTCTACCAATGGGGCTTCCAGCAGAGCAGAGATTCAATATTACCAGAAGCCAAGCACCATTAGCAAAACATCAACTTTAAACAGAAAAAATCTGGCTATTAATTTACAATCTATGAAAAAATGTGGGGTTTTTTATTCATTGGTGTGGAGGGTATGTGAAGCCTGGTTGGTTATTGGTGTTGCTCATTCCAGGCATTTGTGACTTTTTTCTGTTGCAGGCAGATGAGTACCAAGCAGGGAAAACTGTGTTTCACTGTCTCTAAAGGTGGCTTTTTCCTCTTTCTTTTCTTGACAGGGATAGAATGATGCTGCTAAAGTTAGAACAGGAGATTTTGGAATTTATTAGCGATAACAAGTAAGTGGTCGACAAGTTTATGTCAAGCAAAACAGGGGTGCAGGATTCACATCCCAGAATATGGGATAGAGTAGGTGTTTGCAGCAGAGCTTACAGGTTTTTTTTTAACCAAATAGGACTGGAGAAGTCACAGAGTAAGTACTAATACTGGCTTCTGTTTCTGCTTAGAAGCAAAGCATGTGCTTTTCTGCACAAGCTGGTCTTGTCTCAAGAAAGGCCTGTTCAGCTGGAGACTTGACTCAGCCCAGCTCTGGCTGGCAAAGCACTGTAAGCCCATGCTCATGCCCTGTGTAAGGAGCAGGACTTGAGTCTTGACTAACTGCTTTTGAATAGGTGACATGATCCGGCCTGGGATCTGGTCAAAGCATCTCTGGCCTCTCCCTTGCCCTCTCCCTTCTGATGTCGGATTATCGTTGTCTGTTTCAGTCTTCTACATCCTAATGCCTTCTCCCCTCTTCTCAGCAATCAGTTTAAGAAGTTCCCTCAGATGACCTCGTATCACAGGATGCTGCTGCACCGGGTAGCGGCCTACTTCGGCATGGACCATAACGTGGACCAAACCGGGAAAGCAGTCATTATCAACAAGACCAGTAACACACGAATGTAAGGGGGAGGAGAGAGAGAATGGCTGGGCTGGCATCCCCTTCCCTTCCTTGCATGGTGCTACATGACCCCCCAGCCCCAGATCCCTGGCATGGTCCAGAGTGGGATGGATTTTGCATCAAATTTGTTGCCTCCGCAAGAAAGGCTGGTCCCCTCTGGAGGGGCCTGAAGAATCCTTCATTCCAATCCTAAGTGTATATATCTGCAAGTCCTTCTTAGCTTTCTGTAGTTCTCAGAGAAAAGACAGGAGGTCCTCCCTTTGCCATCAGATAGAGGAGAGATTTAGCACAACTTCTGTGTGCCCCTCACCACCTCTCTGCAAGGAGTGGTTTTATGAAGAGGTTCTGTGTCCATTTTACACTTCTAACAAGGGCTGGTTCCTCCTGCAGCCCTGAGCAGAGGTTCTCTGAGCACATCAAAGATGAGAAGAATGCAGAGTTCCCACAGAGATTCATCCTAAAACGGGATGATACCAGCATGGACCGAGATGATAATCAGGTAAGGGGTAGGAGAGGGGTGCCTGCACACTTTGTGGAAGTCAGATGAGACTTTTCTAAGATGAGAATGACTCTACGTTTCTCTTGGGTTTCCTGCAGTAATATTCTATAAAAGTTTTCACCCCTCTCAAATGGCAGCATCCAGACATATCATGAAGAGTTTATAAAATACCTTGGAAATGGAGGAAGAACTTGGGCAGGTTCTGTGCAGAGTAACAATTTCTGTACCCTGAATAGTGACCGGTGGCTGGGCTAGGCTTTAAGGTGAAGTGTTTTACTTGGGTTTCTTTGGAAAAGCCCACTGCCAAACATTTCTCCCACCTCTTGCTGGGGCATACAGCCAGGCAAGCTGTGAAGTCATTGTGACCTCACAGTACTACTGGAAGGAAACCATCAGCGAAATGAAACACTCTAGTCTTTGAGCTCAGCAGTATTGCCAGTCACCTGAGCTTCTTGAAACCCTCCTGAACTCTTGGCTCCCTTCAGGCTGCGGAAGGTGGCACCAGACCTGTAATGCTGTGGCTGTTTTCCCAACCTGTTCTAGACAAAATCTTGAATGTCAAAAAGGGGCAGGAGGCAGGCATACCTCTTCACAAGGGATCTCATGCTCTTTGCTGTTGTATCTCTCATCTTTACATCACCCCAGTATGCCATTATCCTTTGCTTTGCATCATGTTTTTGAACTTAAAAGTTGTCAGGATAAGGAGCTGGTCGTTGCAATCAGTATCAGTCTCTGGTTTCCCCATGCTGGCACTCTGCAGGTGAGGTAGCTACCCATGAAGCACAGAACCCATGACTGAGCAGGAGGAATTGGCTGTTGGCCATGTGCCTTTAAAGAGTGGCCTCTAGCTTTTGGCTCCTTGGGACCAGAATGTCTTTCAGAAGAACTTGGTGACATGTTCCCAATCTGTCCTTCCCAAATGAGGCAGAGTTCAGGCATAGTGGTTGTGCTTGACCCAGAAGGTCAGAGGCGCTAAGACCTCCAGCGTGTTCTTTAGAAATAAGCATCAAGAATGTAGGTTCAAAGAGTAAAGGCTGTGTCATGGCTTCCAGGCATCATGCACAGACACACCAGTCCACATCCACTTACAATGCTATGTAGAAATACCAGCAACTGACTGCGCCCCCTTCTCCCATTGGCAACTGCTGACCAGCTGAGCTGTGTTTGTCCCTTCAGATCAGACTCCCCTTGCAGGATGGGAGAAGGAGCAAATCTATAGAAGAGCGAGAGGAGGAGTATCAGCGGGTCAGGGAGCGGATATTTGCACGAGAGGTAAGCTTGGGTGACTCACTTGCCACGCAGCCTACTGGAACTTTGTGGCAGAAGGTGTCTTTGAGTAAATTAAAAGGTCAGATCTTGTCATTTCCTTTTCTACAAGCTTCCCAATGTTATTAGAACCTACCAGTGAAATAGGGGTCCTAACAAAGATGTCTAAACCACGGAGATAGAGAGAAGCTATGCCTCCA